TCAGGGTCTTCTACAGCTACGTTTCGTTGAGTTCGGCAGTAATAGTATTTCCATTCTTCCTGTTATTGTCCGCAAAGGGGGTTGGAGTGGTGAGGAAGAGGGAGACGACGAATGCGAGCCCGAAGCTTTGCCGAGTTTTGCCGAAGCACACGCTGCATTGGCGAAAGTGAAGTTGTTCTTTTATGCGCTTAATATTAGTGAACGTGACGAGGAAAACCTTTTGAACGTGGAAAGTGCTCTGTTTGGTCTAAAACGTAAAGTTTCGACAAACCAGTTGTCCATTAAAGACTTTTTTGGTAAAAAGAAGTAACTTTGAAAGAGAAACATTGTTTTTTTTTAATTTTTAATGCTTTCCCGCATCTATCGTTTTCCCGCATTCATCGTTTTTATTTCCCACCCCCGCCGAAAACGATGCATCGAGGTTTCACTGTAGTTGCAAACTCTAAATGCCTATATTTGAACATTGGGTTAACTTCATTTACATTTTAATTAGGAAAGAATATTTGGATTTTTGTGTATGTAATCAGATTGTGCACACTATAAAAATTATTTTAATAAGTTTTCTGGCTGTAATATAACTCATCTTTCATGACACTGCTTTCACAAGTGTTCCTTACAGAGACTGGTAGTGTAAACATTTCTCTCACGGCAGTGGCGATGTCAGCTATGGTCTTTGGGTTGTGATGTTATGTAGATTTGTAGGCGGTTACTGGCATTCTGGAGGGACACAGAACCTTGATGTTCTATCCAGAAGATGTAGGCAGTATGTTCCTCTGAAACAAGGCTACACAGCAGCACAGAAGACATTAACATGACCTCTGCAGTTGACAGCATCATAAAGTAAAATAATAATAACTTCTTTAAATGTAGAATTTTTTATGAGAATATTAAAAACTATAATTCTTCTGCATCTTTCATGGGGGATATTAAAGGTAATCATAACAATTTTCTGTTCTTCCTTCAGATCAGAATGTCGCCTAGTGCATTACATCGAGCCAGAAATTCTGTATAACATCCTTCAGCTTGCAGCCTTCACAGTTATGGCTGGTCTGGTAATGAGGCTGAAACTATTCTTCACTCCACAGCTGTGTGTACTTGCTTCACTGCTGGCCTCTAGGAGAGTGAGTACTGTCATGTGACAGACTGACTTCCGCAGATCACAAATCATGGCGCGTAACTATACCTACCATTCTGGCATTGTCAGGGAAGCCACTGAAATAACAGAACGCCCTCGTAACATCAACCACGAAGACAGACACTTACACTGCACTACCCTCTGTATTGAACATCACCCATGCAGATGGACAGAGTTTGTACAAGCCTGGTTTCATATTTCCTCTTTGTTTCTGTTGTGTCCTTCTTAACCACCTTACTTTTTCTGCTCTTCCTGCCATTCCTCAGCTGTTTTCCTGCACCACGTGGTCTCTGCAACCTTTCTTCATCACCTATTTTCTGAATCCTGTGATAACCCAGACATTTTTAGTATTCCACTTCATAATCACATCAATGCTAAAACTTTTTATCACCTTGTTTCCTATCCATCATGGTCATCATTTATTTTCTTATGTTAGTTCCCAACTGTTTGGCCACAGAGTTTTCTTTGTGACCTCTCGGTCTCAACCACACGGTTACTTCTGATTTGTCAGCTCATGCAACCACATCAATCACTCCAGGGTTTCCTACAAATGTCTTCCTGACTGACAATCACCTTGAAGATGGTGACTGCATTGTTTGCCAAAACAATGAAAATTCTTCATTTGACAGGGAACTTCCCCGAAAGCTGAAGTTGTGTCATATGATTTGATAATTATACAAAGTTTATTAGAAGTGGAAATAATATATTTACAAATACTGTTTAAGGCTTATAAAGGTAAAGTAATCTCTGGTCTTAGTAAGCATCATGTCCTGAAGAGGAATAGCTCCACCTTTTTTCTACCCCAGAACCTGATGTATACTTCCATATTGGGTGGTGATATTCTCTACAAGGAATTTGTCAAAACAAAAGAATTCAGTGTTTGATTTTACTAATTGCAACTGTGGATAAGTAGTGCATTGGGACTGAAGCTAAAGCAGCCTCCTACATAAATCTTATGTCACGCTTTTCAGTCAGGACCACCCCAATGTTCCCCGTTTTTCCTCCACAGGAATCCAAGCTCCGTCACTCTTTTGCAAGCTAATATTCGAGCACTCGTCCTGTCTCGTCCTTTTTGCCTCCTGTCCTTCTGCCTTCATAAATCATATACATTTAGAAAAGTTGCACATTTGCCCTTTCTCACTTGGATCCTACGACACTAGTCTACTTCTGACTACCATCAAGGAAAAGTTGTACACGGTGGACTTTCTCGGATTGATGGCTGAAACAAAACAAATTGCCTGCCCTTCCCACTGTCATGTGACACAGAGTAAGTCTGTCTGCCAGACCGACCAAAGAGAATTGTGACAACAAACATATTTTTTGTGAAACTTTTCATCCCACTTTACAAGCATTCGGTGTGCAGCATGAGGACGCGTAGTATTCTACTGTAAACGTGTTAATGTTATAGGTTTCTGGGGGAAGAAATTACTAGTTTCCACCATGATTTATGTAACCTGAAATGTAAATTTTATGTTAGAAGAACACAGTTATTCATTTCACCTGATGGTCATCAGAGTCCCAAGTGTGAAACCCGTGCAGTAGTCGCACCGTACAAGACGAAATCCGAAATTCTTACGATAATATTTGTAAATGGTGAATCCTTGACCTCTGTGAAAAATGATAAACTTCAAGGAAAACAGTTGTCACTAAATTGCTGTTCAATATACTGAAATTTCACTCAAAGTGAGTCTTGAATTTTGGTATTAGAACTGAAATTGTTCAGTCCTTCTCTTATCAAGAAATTACGCAGAAAGTAAATGTGTTTGTACGTGAGAGGATTTCCATTCACAGCTGATGGATAATATTTTAATGTTTCAGATGGTACCACATTGATATCACTGTTTTGTATTTACATGTGAACCTTAATGTAATATACTATCAGTTAATTGTATTTGTAGTATTTCAGATTTCTGCGGACTGATGTGGTTCGCTGGGCCATTTTGGCTGTTCTAATCAGTGGAATGAGTGTGCGAGGAATTCATAATCTTAGTGAGCAGAGAAGTATATTGGGTAAACACATTTAAAATTTAAAGTACTCTAAATATTGTCTTCAGGAAGGGCCAATCAAATGAAAGCGCTGTGGTCTTCTGTATGTTTTGTGTGTTTTGGCTGTATTTTCTGCTGTATGTGCACTCGCTCAGCACTAAAACATTTCTGCAATGAGAACATCGCCATGCATTTGGACAAATTTACTATGTCACTTAGTCCACTTTTATTTGATTGATAATCATGTATTTGAGAGGGATCGGGCGTGCACACAGCATTTTGTTTTGCAGTTGAAAGAGGCCCGTGAACTTTATCCTGAGTTGTAAGTTATTCATATTTTATACTTACGAACGACTGTCTGTGAAACTATATATATTTAAAAAATGTTATTCCTGCAGGGTGTATTAATTATATTAATTAGAAGCGGAATATTTTATTCAAAATAGAAACCTGTAAGATGTCCCTATAAACCATTTTATTAGAACTACATACAAGCATCCCAATTTGAAATTATTACAAATTAAGTTTGTGCTGCATTCCTGAAACTGCAGATCGATGCACGCTGAGTCAAAACAACTGCAGATTTTGTAATCCATGTGGCTCAAATAGACGGCGAATGTAGGCATCATACCGACGGTGAGAGAAATGAATATTCATCGTGCGAAGGATGGGAGTGGGTACGGACTGAGTCGGCAGTACTGTGGGACTAGACCATGTTGGTCCCATCATAGCACCATTTTTGCAGACTTTTGACATCTTTGGAACAATTTGCAGAACACTAAACCACGATGAGCATCTGTTCTCTAAGATAACTTAACCTATGAGCAGACGAAGCACGTCGGTGGGCCGCAGGCTGTGAAGCCCTGGACTGTTCAGTTTCAATCTGGGTTGCATTAGTCCTTTTCAAACCAAGGGGTGGTGACTTTTATCTGGGATGAGATCAGGATTGAAAATTTTATGTCCTATTATTTCCCATGGTCATGTCTCATGATTTGTCCGTTTACTTGTGTTATACAGGTGAGTATAGTAACGTCGCATTTGAGGAGCTGTTAATGTGGGTTAAGTCTGAGACAAGCCCCACTGCAGTGTTTGCTGGTCCGATGCCTGTTATGGCTAACCTCCTGCTGTCTACAAGAAGACCGATCGTCAACCATCCGCATTACGAAAATGCAGAATTAAGGTGAGGATGCACGGAGAGCCGATCTAATGGCAGGGAGTGGCGTTGTTCTGGCGCAGTTCATGTGCCTGCTTACAATAAGCACGGTATTTTACTTGGATGAAATCTGAACAAACCAGAACCACACATTACAATATATCTGGCAAGGACACGATGCTCATTAAAGACCGAGGTAACTCGTACATGTCTGGTCACATGTGAAGTTGATACGTTTAATGAGTGAATCATATTTCTTTACAGCAATATTTAATTTTTTTTTGTGTGTTATAGGGAGCGAACAAAGAAAGTATATTCAGTTTTCAGCCGGAAAACTCCGCAAGAAGCGTTCAGGATCTTGTCCCACCTTCAAGTAGAATATGTAGTACTCGAGGAATCGTGGTGCTTTCAGGAATCCAGGTAGACTACCGACATGTTTGTTCCTTATCTGTATTTTCACGACCCCGTTTCTGTCTCACGTTTTATACGTGAGAATTTAATTGCATTCGGGCAGAAGGCAATGTTTTGAATGTTAGATGTGAGGAGGGGACCTGAGAAGTGCAATAAATACATTGAGTCCTATAGATGATGTTTTGTGTAGAAAAACGTGTCTTTCAATTTGCTTTCTTGATAAACTTCACAGAAATGGTTGCAGCATGGTAGAGCTCTGGGATGTCGAGGACCCACAAAATGCTCGCAATCCCGCACTGTGTCCGCAACTGTTCGTCCAGAGTCCTGCGCCGTTCCATCGTGTCTTTGCCAATGAAGCGTACGTGGTGTTGCGACTGCACAGTCAATATGTGGAACTGAAGCCTCTCAAAACATATAAACTGTAAGCTGTTTCGAGGTGTGAAAGACTCGCAAATTTCTTGAAACCGAGAGACGAGCGAGTTTCTGAAGTAGGGATTTCCAGTGCGAGTGGCCCTCACGACATTTCTTTCGGTGGAATAGTGACGTCCGCAAATTATGCCTGGTAGATGGTTTGAAGATTTTGTTCAGTCTGCACTGCGAATAAATGTGCGTGACCAGAGCGCATTTTTTTCCCGAATAAATAATGTTTAAGTAATTGAATTTGCTTTAACCTTTGTCATTCCATTGCACCCAAGAACGGAATGCCTCGCTGTCCGAGTGCCACTTCTGGGAATGCTAAAAGTGGAAGGTAAATTAAGGACCATGCAGATGGCGTGGTGCACGAGGGGAAGCGGAGATTGTGGCGAAAGCATTCGTAATCTGAGCGCTAAATGGAGGTACGTAGTTTGCCTCGGTGCTTGGGGAAATGACAAGTGGTGTCTGCGACTCCTCAGATGGGTTTCTTCAGTTGCTACTCTGATCTACTGATCTTGTGTGGGTTGCAGACTCGTTGGCCGTTGTTGAAATACAAACAATACCTGAAGCTTGTGTGAGTGACAGAAAGGAAGGAGTTTTTTTCTATGAAAGAGGTCGATGACTGCGGCTCAGGCGTACTTACAGCTTCTGGGTCCTGACACATGTGATTTGCATCGTGCCTACAGTTTATTCAGCTTGAGATACAGCTCAGCACATTAGATCAACAAGGGCTCAAGTCCAATGAGTATGCCTACCCACTTCATTTCAGTTTACCTTACTGCGCGCAACTGCGTCTTCAAGAGCCGAAATCACGTGTAAATCTCCGGCTATCATCATCTCCACTACCAGATCGGAGAACCCGAAATCAAACGCGCTAACGTTGACCGACTGGGACGCGACAGCCGCGAACCTCTTGCCAGTTGTTCCGTGAATTGAAAATTGTGGTACGTGAATGATGAACTGGACGTGGCAATTGGTTGACTGAGCACGGATTATTTTGATTTGTTGTAAGAATTGTTTTGAATATTTTGAGTTTTTACAGGATTGATACTGATGTTTTGTTTCTGTGCTCATCTATTTTTCATGCGATTGTATCGACACAGATCATTTCCTGTCAGCATGTCGTTTGTTTTACAAAACTGTTACATTAACGGCACACTTCACTTTTAGCAGAGTTCATCATCAAATTATTTGGAGAAAATGGATTCAGTGCGTTACTGATATTATTTTTTAATGTTCTGCGGTGGATAAGAAGGTGCCAACAATATTCTATGTCTGTGATGGTTCATATATTCCGTTATTTAATGGATTTTGAACTTCTTATTTGAGCTGAAATAGTCAATTAGCTGCTGTAACAGGAATAGAAGGTAGATCTCTTGCTGCATTATTCTGAAACGCCCTTTACTTCGCTCTGTGTAGTTGATTGGACGGCATATTCCGCAGCATCAGTGTTGGCTCCGCAGAGTAAAGTCGTCGTAGAGAAGCTAATAGACTCCGAGTTTGTCAATGAATTTCCTGCCTTGTATGAACCCTCAAGATTAAGAACTTACCGTCTATGCAGTTTCTCTTCTTCCCTTCGAATTTTCCCATTAAACTGTATTTCTCTCATTCCTCCCTTGAGTCACAATTATTTTCCTTGGGCTTTCTCATTATTGTGTGTGTGTGTGCCTGTCTGATTGCACTTGAGCAATGCGACACTTCACTGGTGCTTGTATTAAATTCGTACGTGCGCGTAGACCCAGGAATTTAAATGCCGTACCGAAAAGGTTAAAAGAAAACGTAAACATTTAAAAATTAACGAAAAATTATTCCATGTAGACGTATGAGGGAGTTGCACGAGACGAGTTAGCCGGCCTGGACACAGAGGCTAGAGGAAAAATCCTCTGTTCCGGTGGTGTTTGTGCACTGTCAGTTTCCGCGGAGACAAACGGTCAACCATACTTGCTTAGTTCAAGAAATGCGCAGAGAGAAAGTTTCCACGAAGAGCGGAAACTTTTCTCGTTGTTCGGTAGGACCAGGTGCACGTGTTGAGGAAACAGATCGGTGCGACAAACGCTCACCAGAGTGAACCACTGATCTACATTTGATACTAGGCAAAAGTATTCGAGCAACAGCTGCAGCAATGGACTGGCCTGTTATTTGTTGACGTTTGAACACGCAGAACGAATGTTTAAATTAATGTTGAAGGTCAAGAGACAGGTTCTCTCACCCGAGCGAAGAAACCCATTTCGTTTGTTCATCAGTTCTCTGCTGTTGCAGGCTGCGTCTTAAAACAAGGCAAGGAATTCGTGTGTTTCGTTTCAGGTCACGCTCCTCCGCCCTTCCTCATAAACGCTGTCCGTAAATGTCTCCGGTTTACGGCGAAGAAATGATCCGGATATTCTGAGTGAAAGGCACGCTTCGAACAAACACGTTGTGTGGACGTGGAGGATGAAGGTCAGAGGTGCCTGCTCAGGTCGACTGCGGAGTACGCATATTTCAAGGGAAAACAGACAACGAACGGTTCAATGCAAAGACGACATATCTGCAAAGATGGATGAGGTGCCTTAAAATCGAATAGTCGTGTATCCGACATGAAAATTTGTCGTTTGATCCAGCGCAGATTTCGTCTTGCAAACTCCGCTTTGTTATTCGTACCGAGACATTGAGATCACGGACACCCCAGAAACCACGAAAGCAAGAACATCGTCCCTTGGTCTTCGTAGATTTCACACAAATCATGTTTCCTCGTATTGTCGAAGGAGCTTGCTGCATCCATCATCAGGGCGCAGACGTAGAGACGATCCGGATCCAGTTCCATCCGCCTCACAAAATGTCTGCGTAAAATCAATCTTAATGTTATCCTCCCAAGTAGACGTTTCCCCACCAAAATTCTATACGCATTCCAATTTTTCTCAAGTTATTTCTTCCGACTAAAATTTTTGCGTGAACTTTTCATCTGCTCCGTGACCTGTGACGTTCCGAAACTCGCGAGCCGACAGTGGCATCGGGATGAGTCCTCAGGTTGCGCCACACCGCCTCCGGGCTGCTACCTGGCAGGCCCATCCGAACTAGTGACCTCTCTAACTCTTCCTCGATGTGTTTTGTGTCTTTTTTACGCTCCGCTCCGCTCCGCTGGAGGTAGTTGTGCAGTGGACGTGTTTGCCACGAGGAGCGCTGTTTCCACCTAAACAACAATCTCTCTTGGTCGCTGGAGGTAACTGAAAGTCGGACGCCAGGCGCAAGTTGTGTTTAGTTGGTGACCTAAAAGCGGGCAGGTAGGCGGGCGGTGTCAAACCTCTGATTTGTTTCCGCGTTTGTAACGGGATGTGTGTCATGTGACGAGTGTTTCAATCTTGAAGTGTCTGAATTGTTATTAAGAAGCCAACGTCTGGATTCATTAATTCCTGTCGTCGTGACAAGAAAATGTGACTGAAGGCACTCCTGCAGGATCCATCCAGACAGGTAGGTTGCACGTCACTGTACTTTCCGTTCTTTTAATCTGGCAAGACTGTATTAAGCGAAGTTCCAGCAAATACGTAGTTTATTTACCACCGAAATTCATAGGACGAGATTTGTGGGACATGCATCATTTTCATGGACGTAGACGTGCGATAATGTAAACGTTTATCTCGAAGAAGAAGGATAGGATACACTGGCGGGCTGTTGTGAAGAAGGTAATGAACCTTCGGGCTCTGTAAAGGCGAGGAATGTGTTGACGAGCAGAGCGGTCTTTACAACAATGTGACAAAACGTCGGACTTCATGAACGTGGGCACAGAAGTATTTTACAAAAATTGTACAAACAGAATAATCTAGAAATAAAAGCAGATTCTGGAAGTTGTTGATTTTTGTGATCGCAATTCGTTGGATTGAAACAAGGCATTGAGCGCCAAGAAATGTTTTCGTAAGTCGGTTCTTGCAATTTCTCGTACATTTCTTAACGGAACAAAGTTGAATAGAATAGGGCACGCAAATGGTCGACATTTGCTATCGAGCGCCATATTTGTTCGGAGCCTATCGAAACAGGGCGACCCACATTATGTAGTCCAATTGATCCGATTGGCTCAATGTTCGTATTGCCTTGCCATCGGCTGCACTCGGTTCGTAACTTGTAACACGAAGCAGAAAGCTAAACAATATTATTGAATAATTAAAAATACATTAAAACGCATCTCTGGGTCAGTGCAGGGGGAAACATGGCCGCGTCGCCTAGAACCCAGAAGGGGGGGGGGTGGTAATAGAAAGAGAAATAGCCTTGTCATTACGTCAGGAAGTCCCATTTGACTTTACTTCGTTCATTAAACTGCACAGACGAACTTCGGGTCTTAATCGTGAATACGGACTCCGCGCGCTCCGCCTGTTTACGCTGCAGTCGAGTAAAACTGGGCTAACGCTTTTTGCCCACGAAGAGGAGGTTTTGTGTTTTTAGTCTAAAACCTCAACGGAACGTTAACCTTTACTGCCCAATTGCAACTATAGGTCGACCTCCGTCGATTCTCGCTGCTCTGCGGCTTCTCAGTAAACAGAGGGTTAGTTCCCTTAACAGCCAGTGCGACTGCTGTTTGCAGACGGATTTAAGTCGACTTTAATTGTAAATCGAAATCCTGGTCGCGCTGAAGATTCTTCCGAGCAACAGCTGGAAAATGGTAAAGCATTTTAATAATACGCGTCTCTGTTCGAGCCAGAGATGTGCTTTGTAAACTGACTGTCATTTAAGAGCGATCTTCCTCAGTTCAGATTTTTGTTACTAGAGGTCTATACACACGTAGGTTTTCGGTGCATTGGCGTCTTGAATGTTTGCGTTCCAGTTTCAAGTCTTTATCTGTTGCGCTCTCAAAATACAGTTGATTCCGGTTAACTGGGCCAAAGAGTTCTCGTCCCGATGTTTCCCAATTAACCGGAATCCACTGTAATTAATTAACGTTCCGTGCGCCACCATCGGACTTGTAAGTTTTACTAGTAATTTGCTGTAAGCACGAAAAACTTTGTCCACACATTTTCTTGATTCCGGTTCTAAATTTCGGAAGTGACTGAGTACGAATGTGACAGTCACTTTGTGTCTGGGGTGGGATGGCCTTCGGCGTGTGACGCGAAAAGTTTCCTCTGCCCTCAAATGAAATGAAACGAAGTGGAGTTTCTGTCACGCCTTTTAGAATCCACACAAGTTACTTCTGTGGCCTAACTTTCAAGGACTCTCTCGCGTAAGAAACGAGACTTCTAGCCTCTGTTTGTCCCAGCGGCTGGGAGTGCCGTTCAAACTTTTGCGTTCTCGTAAATGGAAAAGTTTTTTTGTTCTGGCTGACGACACAAAACAAAACTGCAGGGGGATCGGCCCACTAAGGGGAAAGAATGACCAAGCTTGTGGTTACTAAACATGGCGCTCTTTCTTCAAATCTTCAGGATTAAACCAACCGCGACATTCCACTGATTACTGGGTTGGAACATGTTTCGGTCTTCAGGGTCTCGATACGCTTGTGGTAATCCATCGACTTATACAGTACGTGACGCCATTTAGAAATGCGCACTGACTGAAATGAATGTTCGAACAACACGAATTATGTATTACTCCGCGCCTGTGGCCACTTTCGCTGTTTTATCTCTTTCTGACTCAACAGATTCACGCAAATCACATTTACAAATTCAGTTCTCGCAACGCCGCGTCTTCAGCTGTTAACACCGTTTACCGAAAAGTAGTTCTGGCAATGGACCAGAACTCGTGGGCAGAACGCAGAGTTATTGAGTGTTAAAGTAGGCTCTGAGTTCTGAAGATCTAAGCGCGAATATTTTGTCTGCTGTCCCCTTCAGAGCGCGTCGGTTTCCCTGTTTGACTGCGACCAGTTGCTTTGCCGACGCCAGACATTTTAACAAACGTAGTCGCAGTTAATTGAGATTTTCGGAGAAATTGTCGAGTGTGTGAATGGTTTTTGCGAGGCTGCCAAGTGCCAGGATGAAGAACGGAAACGCGAAACCGCTTTTAATCTTTGCCGATGACAAAAAGTCGTCCCACTTGCTGGCCTAGAACCGGCAACTTATAAAAGGCTCACATTTTAAAACCGCCGACACCAACCGGTGGTAATCTGACGCGTGCAGATTCTAAACCCAGCTTTCCGTTTCCGGTTTCTCCGCCTGTAACAACCGAATACTTATTAAAAGATTCGAAACTTGTTCCACACGAGACGGCCAGTTGATCCACTTTGCTTCTGCTGGAAAGAAGACCGGAGGCTCCGGTGAACGATAACACAGACGCTGACATCGCGGCGGAATTCTCGACAAATGGAAACGCAGGATCTTCATAAACTGGACGACAATAACGGCCTTGCACGGCTGGAACGAAAGTTAAGAACCGAAAATCGGACGTGGTAAGAAAATAATCCAGTCTGGCGACCTACTCAAAGTTTCGGGGAAGTATGGAGCTTCTGGGGGGATTTAATTCAGGTAAAGCTTGCCAAAGCTAGTCGGGTAAAGTGCGGTGAAATGTGAGTCTAAACAAACGCTCACTTGTTACGCGGTCTTCAACATACGCGTCACGCGACGCGCTGTTCTAAACTTCTGATTATTCCACAATTGGCGATGTGATTTGTAAGAGGAGAATACAGGCATTTCGGTGAATTGGTCCTTTACATTCGCGTTTGAGACGTCGTTTGCCAGTTCAGTTCGCAAACACTGACAACTCCGAAGCCCGTGGAAATGAGAACCGAGACTTTCCAGTCCATTTGTGTGCCACGTACGTTCAGCCATTGTTTCGTGCAGCTGCACTCTGATGGAGGACACTCGGCCGATTCAAAATTGTACGTTGCGCTCCAGAAAATACGAATCACGTGCGATTATTTGTACTTGTAGGTAAAGAATTCTACATTGTTTAGTTCCTTTCTGCTTTCTTTTTCGTAAGTGCAAGCTCTAAACGAGGTTTCTTTCGACACGAGCCAGATGGTCCCAGCGTTAACATCGTCAGTGTCGAAATCTGAAGTATCAGCTGTAAACCGACTTCAAGTGCCACGGAACGCACACAGTAAAATGCCTGAGAAATTTATACAAGGAAATGATAAATCATGATTGAAAATGCGAAGTAAACAGGCCCTCAGCTTTGAGAGCTTCGTAAGTGTCGTGACGTCCCGTAAATCCGTGGCCTCGCCCCTGTTAAATGCGAAATTTTCATTGGGGGTCGGTAAATGACGCAGCTGAGAGCGTGGCACGTTCGAGACATATAAAGCACGCGATTGAAAAGAATTCATCAGGCGATTCCAGTCGTTCGGTTGGTCCAGGAACCTCCGCCCCCCCCCTTTCATGGAGCCCCGAAATTTCTGTGAGATCCATTTAACGTTGTCTTCCCACCAACGCTCATGACTTCAGGCTCTGGGACTAAAATTTTATATGCAATTTCGTCATCCTCTTCATTCGGCCGCCCCGTCAACATTTGATGTTTTGTTCCCTCAGGGCGAGAGACCAAGACATTGTTTTCGTTCCGCCCTGTTGGGGGGGGGGGGGGG